CCCGCATGTCCCCTCGCGCGCAGACGCTGCGGTTCGGCGGGTTTGGTCTCCGCTTCCGTGGTGGGCGGTGCGCGGACCCCCTCGGTGCAGGCCTCTGGGCTTAACCGGGATCCGCATCCAGCCCAGCGGGTGTGGAAGCTGAGGATGCCAGTGGGGAGGGGGCTCGGCGCCAGACGCGCCGGGCTTGGGGTCCAGCCCGGTGCCCCTTCACCTCCTGCGTGTCCCTGGGCGGGAGACCTGACCTCCCCAAGCCCCGTTGTGGTCGCCTGTGAACAGGGGTCGTTAGCAGCCCTCGTCCTAGGGCGGCCGAAGGGACTGGAGGGAGCCGCGTGTGGCCAGACCCTGCGTGCTGTTAGGACACTCGACGGCGCCTGGCACCGACTCGGCCCGGGGTTTGCAGCCTGTGGAACAGGGCTCAGCCCTCACGCTGCTGGTTAATACGAAAAACAACTTGAGAACCAACCAGCATGTCGGAGCAGGAACGGCGCCGCTGGATTTGCCGAAGGCGGCTGCCCAGGCAGCTTCCTCCAGGAAGCGTGTTCAGACCCGCAGGCTGCTGGGGCCCTTCGGACTTGGGTTGTCTGTTGATGCTGAAACTGGGTTGATGTTTCTTCAGAATATATAAGAGCTGAGGTAAAATCAGACACTTAGAATGGTCCCTAATATTGTAGTCGCGTTTACTGTTGCGTGGAAATTGAAGGTTAATTTTCGAATGAAATGTTTGTTCCCGCATCCTTACTGCCGCCTTCCTTTGATGTCAGATACACCCATTTTAGTGATTCGAAAAGATAAGAGTGCTGCATAGTTACTGAAACACCAGCATGGGTGTGCAGCATTTTTGTGGATGAGAATAGCCAAGAAAGTAAGGGTAGAACAGTAATTATCAGACTGGAAGATTTTAGCTAGAAGTTGAAAGACATTCTAGGATTGGGGGGTTGGCGGGGCATCTTGAAAGGTAATCCATACCGGAACCTAGAGTTTGAAGCTTGAAATCCAGAAGATATTGTTTTAAAGTTAAAATACTGAGTTTGGCAGATATCGTAACTGAAATCTTAGATAAACTTCAGCTTTATTGATGGTTTGAAGTAGAATGCTTTACTAAAACAAGTACTTAACCCCTGTTAAAACATTATTAAATATGTGAAAAGAAAAGGGAAAAGTTAATTTATATTTCAGTGAGTATTTCATTTAATTGGCATTTTCAGCACATCTTCAGTGCAGCTCATATACTAAAAGTAAAATGAATCTGCTACCATCCATGGTGGTAAAAGTACTCATGATGGTTTAAAAAAAAGATTTTTTTCTTTAAGGTTTTGTAGGGAAAAAAACCCCAAAATGTCCTGTTTTCTTAATTTTTTAGACATTCTGACTTTAATTATTTTTAAAGTTAATTATTGTAGATGTTCCTTGCCATCAATATCAACATGCTAGTATTTCAACTCGTCAACTTTTCCTTACAAGTTACATGAATTCCAGATGGGAAAATTGAAGTACTTTGTATGTGATGCATAGGACTGTTTTCTTATAGATTATTTTTTTCTTTTGGATAGGAAATAACCTGGACTTTTGGTAACTAAAATATTATATCTACCCCAAAGGAAATAACCTGGACTTTTGGTAACTGAAATACTATATTTACCCCAAAACATCTTTTAACAATTATAGTTTTTATTGAATGAAGGTAAAGTGGTGAGGAGTCAATATTGCCTGTGGTAAACCAGAGAGGGAGAGGGCCAGGCAGAAGTAGAGGAAAGATAGAAATTGTAATCTCAATATTTCCCGCTTTTCTGTCAGAGAGAGACTTACAGAAGGTATGATGAAACCAGAGTAGGAAGCCGGAGTGCTGGGTGTTCATTTTGGCTCTTGGCTCTTCCCTGAATTAATTTAGTACCTTTGGACAAGTCACGTTGGCTTTCTGTGCTTAACTTTGTTGCAAAATCAAGTGGTTGCGTTCATTGAGTTCTAAAGCCATTTTCTCATATTATCGGAAGTCTTCTATCAACTCAAAACCTTGTTACTTAAATTCCTCTGATAGTTCTCTAGTGACAAGTTTTTGGACGCTGTCTTGGTCCACATCTTTGTCAAAGATTGGGATGAACAGAGTTCAGATCTACCTGTATTTAATTAGCAAGCATGTGTCAGGTGCCTGCTGTGTCCTAGGCATATTACTCTAGGTGTTTTTATGTATGTCTTGCCGTATAGCCATCTGTTTTGTTTGCTGATGTATCCCCTGTGCTTAGAATAGTGCCCAGCAGAAACTACGTGATAAATATTCATTGAGTCAGTGAACTAAGAACCCAGCGATGCGAGTCCTCTTTGGGCCTTCCTGGTTCCTGTACACTGTACTCTTCCCCCTCTGGCCTGGGCCCCGACAGCTGTCTTCTCTCTGGCATCATCCATTTCGCATTCTCCCATTGACACATCATCCTTGGTATTAAAAACTGCTGTATTTTCTTTCATCGTAAAACAGCAGACTTGACCCACATTCCCTTCTGGATACCCACCTGTTCTCTGTTCCTTTTTGCAACAGCATTCCTCTGACGAGTCGTCCATATGTGCTATTTCCAATTCGTCCTCTCCTGTTCTTTCTTGGACTTACTTCATCTGACTTTCATCCCCACTGTATCAGAACAGGTCTTACCAGGGGTTGCCAGTGCCTTTGTGTTGTACAGTCCGGTGATCAGTGGTCATTCCTTATCTTACTAGACCTCCCAGCATCACTGGAAACAGCTGAGCACTCCTTCCTTCTTGAAACACTTTCTTACTTTGCTGTCCAAGATGCCACTCCTGGCAGGAGGATGCTGGTTCCTCCTTGTCTTCCCAACTTATGAAGTATTGAGTGCCCCAAGGCTTAGCCTTGGAGATTCTCTTTTATTTTATATCTTCTTTAGATTCATGGTTTTCAGTACTGGTCTGTATGTGGCCCATTCCCAGGTATGTTTCTCTAGCCCTGGTCTTCCTGCTAAACTCTGCTTATGTCCTGCTGCCTATTGGGACATCCAGTAGAATCTTAACATGTTCAAAACTGAATCCGTGACAGCCATTCCACCCCTAAGCCCGTTCTGCCTGCCACTCCCTCTTCACAAGCAAGCCAGTGATGATGCTGATGGTGGCAGTACCTGTTTAGTGTGTGTATGGTGGGGGCACGCTTCTAAGCTTTATTTAATTACAGTCTCCAAAACAGTCTTACTGGGTAGGGACTGTTATTATCCTTATTTTGTAGGTGGAGAAACTGAGGCAAAGAGATGTTAGGTAACTTATCTAGGTCACACAGTAAGTGGCAGAGCTTCCTAGGATACAAACCCACTTTGCCAAAAAAAACCGTGCGGTATCCCAGACTCCTCTCACTCACATGCTCCATCCGTTCCCCAGCGAATCCTGTTGGCTTTAATCTCAAAATTATCCAGAAGCTGATCATCTGTTATAGATTTCACCCTGCCACACCTGTCCCAGCCACGTTCCTCACTTGTCTCAGTTCCTGCGGTCACATCCTGTTGGCTCCCTGCACAGTGTATTCCCGGCACAGGGTCATTCGGAGCCCGCCCTGCCTTTTGCATCTCACCGGGTAACAGCCGGCCTACCGGTGCCGCCATGTCACTTCCTCGGCCTGCCCGGTGGCTGCACCTCCGACCATGCCAAGTGCACGTCCTTTGTACTCACTGCTCTTCTGGCCGGGAATTCTCTTCCACATACCAACATGGTTTGCTTGGGTCTTCGTTCAATTATACCTTTTAGAGAGGCCTTCCCAGACCACCCGGCATGACGCCGCTCACACCGGCTGTCTCATGGAAGAGGCTCCGTGGTACAGAACTAGGTCCAGTGGGGGAAAATCCAGCAGTGTTGGCTTTGCAGGTGGAATGGCACCTTGTGAGCTTTCTGTTCTGGAGGTTTCACGTCAGGATCCAGGCCGGCCGTTTGTGGAGGCAGTTCTTGACTGCAGCTCCCGGGGAGCTGTCAGGGGTGCTGGGTCTCAGGAAGGCCTCCGTGTGACCCCTGTCACGGGGCCTCCTGTGCATGGCCCCCCTTCCCTCGACTGTGCTTGTTAAGTATGTGTCATAAAGCAGAGTGTGACTGGGGCTGAGAGGTGTAGTTCTGCTACTGATTTGGGTGGGAGGAGGCACTAAAAAAATTTTAAAACCACAAGATTTTACAACCCTTTTGAAAATTGGAAATGAGACTGGACTCCTGGGACAATTGTATCAAGCAGTAAGGGTCAGAGCACCGAAACGACTGGTTGTCAGGCCTAGGAGAAGCTCCTTTTAACATATTTGAGAAGCTATCATAAATTTTGATTTATTAACAATGTTTGAAGCTCTTTTTCTATTCTGGTAAAGTTAATCACAACATTTAGAAGTGTACAACCCATTGGTTTTTAGTTTATTTACAAGGTTATCCAACCATCCCTACTATCTGATTCTGAAACATTTTGATTATCCCCAGAAGACACCACTGTTTCCATTAGCAGCCACTGCCCCCTTCAGCCCTGGCCACCACTAGCCTTTCCGTCCGTGTGGACTAGCCCACTTCAGGTACTTCATATAAATGAAGTCATACAAAATGTGATCTTTAGTATCTGACTTTTTAAATTGAGCATGACGTTTTCAAGGCTCACGCATACTGTAGCATGAAGTAGTGTTTCTTTCCTTTTTGTGCCCGAGTGAGTCTGCTTTATGGGTTAGTGTATTTCCATCCATTCGTCAGTTGATTGGCATTTGGTTGTTTCTACTTTCTGGCTGTTATGAATAATGCTCTTGTCAACGTTTGTGTGCAAATTTTGGTGTGAATACATGTTTTCAGTTCTCTTGGGTGTATATGTAGAACTAGGATTAATGGGTCAAACGGTATCTCTGTGTTTAGCTTTTTGAGGAGTGCCACACTGATCTCTGCAGTGGCTGCACCGTTTTATATCCCCACCAGCAAATGTGAAGGTTCTAATTTCTCCACATCGTCATCAACACTTGTTGTTTTCCCTTTTTTTCTGGGTTATAGCCATCCTAGTGAGGAAAGCTCTCATGTTAAAAAGTAGTGAGTTTTGCTGCGTTGCGCTCTGAACGATCAAACCCTGGTAAATTATAGTGGTTTGCCTCTTTAGGTGGGTTGACTAGACTGTCATGTAAATAAAGCACAGCTTGTGGGTGTAATGTGTTATGTGTTCACCCTCTGTTACCAGAACAGGCCCAGATTTCTCACAGATGAATTCTGTTGGTTACCAGGAGATCAGACTGAATCTTCCACCCTTGGAAGAACAAGTCAAAGTGCGTGCCCTGCTAATACGCTGGTGGGCTGGACGATGCTGGCTTGAAGACAGCATCTAATTGCTGCTGTGTCTGTCTCTCCCTCCCTCCATCCCCTCCATTCGTTTTTTTCATTTCCTGCCTCATCCACGAAGGGCTTGAGGTGGTTTTCCTTACGGTTGTGTGGTATGGAATAGTGGTGAACTGTCTCTAAGAGAGCGATGGGAAGCAGAGAAAACAGGAATGCAAGAAGGAAGTCTTAACGTGGGAGAAGGTGATCGTGAGGGCTAATACAGTTGTGTCATCGAAGGTCATGTCTGACCACCACTTACTATCGGGCAGTCACCGAAAAGAGTCACAGTCAGTTACACATCTTCCTCCTTTTCCTCTGAGGAAGCAGAGTTATTATAGCTCTGAATTTAGAAGCCTCAGGTGGGGCTTTATAAGGTGGAACTAAGCAGCGTATAGAGGTGTCCTCACTGAAAGCTTGCGTAGCGTGAGTGTAATTTTCAATTGGGATACACTAGCGTAGGGCTGTAAGCACATTTGTCACACTTTTGTATTTTCCTATTTTATAGAAATTCTCTCTCAAGGTACTAATGGTTGTCTTTTTTTAAAATCATATTTTCTTCCGTTTGTACACTATGTTTTCCAGAATACATACGTTGAAGCTTGGGACAAGACATTTATACATTTCTGGTAAGTTAAATGACTGGTTTACAGAGTGACATGAAATAATTGTATGCTACACTTTCAATCATTTAAGATACAAGAGAAATTTTAGTGACTATAAGATAAAAGTGATACTGATAAAATTTTATTATTGCATAATGTCAAAAGAACAGATTGCTTTTCTACAAACCTACTTGTAAAGGGTAATACTCAAACACGTGTGTCATCATTTCCTGAAGAATTGGGTAACTTTTATTGAAGCAGAGTGATCTTTCCTGTGAAGAACAGTTATCTCAGTGTAACTTATTTTGATACAGATGTTTAGAGTGATCCACTTAAGATACAAGTCAGATTATTAAGACCAGTCTGAAATTTCATTCATCAGCTTTATTTTCCTCTCATAATTATAGCTTGTGAGTTATTTCAGAAGCTAAACTGACACACTTCATGGAGGACAAATGAAACCATATAATTTTCACATTTAAATCTGCAACACAGTTAACCGTTAATAATCTCCTCATTTTGGGGGATTAAGAAATGCTCTACATAGTATTTATGTGGACTACAACATTTAACCGTTCAGCCTTGAAGAGAATAACATTGGATTATTTTTCCCTTCTAGTGGCAAAATTAAAGACCTGCCATGATGATGAAGAAAGAGACTGAATTTGTCATTTTCACCTAAAGAAAAATGATAGACAAAAATCAGACCTGTGGTGCAGGACAGGACTCCATGCCCTATATGACTTGTCTGATCCACGTGCTTGAAGAGTGGTTTGGTGTGGAGCAGCTGGAGGACTATGTGAACTTTGCCAACTACCTCTTGTGGGTTTTCACACCCCTGATACTTTTAATACTTCCCTACTTTACCATCTTTCTTCTCTACCTTACCATTATTTTCTTACACATTTATAAGAGGAAGAATGTGTTAAGAGAAGCTTATTCCCACAATCTGTGGGATGGTGCGAGGAAGACGGTGGCGACCCTGTGGGACGGACACGCGGCAGTGTGGCATGGTAAGCGAAGCTGCGTTGATCGCTGCTCCTGTGCGTCGCGTGGCTCTGAAACCGCCTCGTCGTTCCATTTGACTGGTTGAGAAAATACTGAAAAGTGCGACAGAAGGGATGGTTACAGTCATCTGCTGCATGCACTGTGTATACGTATGTCTTTTCTTAAAATGGTTTTTTTCCTAAGCACATTAGTTTCCATTAAACAAAGAACCACATAGTAGTGTAGACTGTTAGTATAAGCTAACATGAAAACAATTACATTTAAGACGTCTGAATGAGTGAGAGGCTAATTAAAGCAGTATGGAAAACTGTTCGGAAAATGCTTTAATTACTTAGCATTTACTTCCGTTTTGTTCAAAATAAGGTTGACTTTCTCAGTGTAGAGATTTTTAAAAATGAAATAGTATTATATACAATTGATATACCAAAATTTACCCATTTTCTGTTTGATTCACTTAGAAATCATTGTGTCTTTCTGAATAACTGAGTCAGCAATAAGTTTCTCTCCAGGATATTCATTCTTCACCACTGGAGAGATTGTGACGTGCATTTAATGATTGGTGGTGGCTCTTCATTTGGCCATCGTGGACGCTGCCCTGGAGCGGCCTGTTTCAAGGACTTGGTGTTTTTCTTTCCCACTTTGTAACTTCCTTGTCGGTCCCTTTTGCTTTGGGACTATAGAGGAATACAGAGGACTTAATGGGAATAACGAAGGTGTGCTTTCCATACCGTGGTCTTGGGGGTCAAAGTGGTTTCACGGAAAGATGTGGAAGGAAGGGCAGATTTTGAAATGGACACTTGAGGGTGTGCACCCTGAAATGAAAGGCTATTGCTAGCAGAGATCTCCAGTGACGTGCTTACCAGGCTAACGTGTTGTCATTTTATTCCAGCATGTGCCTGCAAGTCTGTTTGAGCACTTAACTACGCCATGTGGTGTCAAATGCATCAGATCTTTTAAATCTTACACTAGATAGAGTCCATGTATTATCTCCATTTTACAGTTTTCCCATAAGGACACTGAGGAACAGAGAGGTTGTTGTGTGCCCAAGACACACCAGGAAACCAGGAAAAAGAGCCAGCATGGAGCCTTGGATGCCAGGGCCAGGCCTGAGCTCCTGTGATTCGTGCTGTGGGCCAGGTGTGTCCCCGCTGGGGGACTCAGGGTCAGAGCAGTGGTCTGTGGCAGGCTTGCAAACGGGAACCTCGTGCCACCAGTGTATTGCATTTCTAGTGTCTACCAGCTAATGCTAATGCCCTTGCCAGGCAGCACCGCTCCCGCACCTCTTGTGGTCGCCTCACACCAGGCCAGGTGACACCGTGGCACTCCGTGACCAGACTGTGCCGCGTGTGCTGCTGCTGGCCGCTGCTTTAAACCTGTGACACAGGCGCTCAGTGGCCTCCTTTGCGGGACTCGGGATGTAATCCCCTCCCACTAACAGCCCCCTGTGTTTCAGGACAATGTCTGTTGTAAGGAATTTGAAGCTTATTCGTATTTCAGGGGACATGATTTAATTTGGATAAATTCAAGTGTTAAACTTACTTTGTAGGAGAATATGTAATTTTGAGGTATTATCCCTTTTTCTGAGATATTTTAAAATATGCACTTATGGCTCAGAGGAAGTAAAATATTCTTAGCCAGTTTTAATATTTTATTATAATAATCTAACATTATATTTTATTAGGGTAAGTGATGCTTTTCAAGATGATTTTCTTCACTCTGTTCTTTAGTGACATGTATACACAAGGCATTTGTGTGCTTATTTGGATTTTGTATTGATGTCAGATCAGTTTTAATTTATGCTTTTTAAAGAATCTTCAAAGAAATTTTTTAACTAATAAAAATGTTCATTGTAGAAACTGTGGCAAATAAAGTAAATATAAAGAAGAAAATAATAGTCCCCTAAAATTTGTCGCACAGTTGAGTCCTGGTGTTTGTGCTGGTTTTTGTTTGTGTGGCTGACTCGTGCTTTCATGTCGCTCAGCCTTCTTACACGCCTTGTGGTCACTGTCTGGTGCTCTGCAAGTTCTGTAACTAATTCAGTCAGTTCTGTACTGAACTGTTATTTATATGTAATTTGTTGCTATAAGTATCTTCGTACAAGAATCTGTCCAGTGTTTCCTGTATGAAGTAGTTTTACCCTCCACTGTATATAAGTGCTCTGTCATTAAAAAAAAATTCTCTGATTCGAATACATCAGGACACGTGAATTTGATATTTCTTAAATACGTACATTTCTACATATTTTGTCAGTGAAGTCCCTACCCTCAAGTTGCTTACAGCCTTTAAACTATTTTTGACTTTTTTACTTCATATTTATTATTATTTGTTTAAAGAACTGGACATATTTTATTCACCAAAGGGGTCCCATAAATTAAACCGTGTGTAGTGAAGTTTTTCAGGGGAAAATTAAATTGAGGTATCAAGAGAGCACGTTCCTACTCTACGTCAGTTAGGTAAGAGTTTCCTCTCGCCTCCTCTGTCTTTCGCGGAGGAAGACACTCCCCCATCCGCCTGAATGCAAGTGGGCTTTTCCCTGATACTGGCTGGGAAGCCCTTGACCTTGGACGGGTACCTAGCTTCCTTTCCCCTTCCCTCTTCCCCCTTCCCCAACCCCCTCCCCTCTTTCCCCACTTCGCCCTCTTCCTCCTCCTCCCTTCCTTTCACAACAGTTATGATTTTCTAAAACTTCGTTTTGAAAAAATTTAGAAATCCGGAAAAGCTGCAAAAATAGCACAGAGTTCCTGTCTGCTGGTCGCCCAGCTTCCCCTGGGGTTGCCATCGTACACAGCCGATTCCCAGCGGTGTGCCAAGTCAGCTCCACTCCAGACCTCGTTCAGGCCTCACCCGTTTTCCTGCCAGTGTCCTTGTACCAGGATCCCGAACTGCGTTTGGTTTCCTGCCTCCTGCAGTCTGTGGCGTTGTTTTAGTCTTTAGTGACCGTCACACCTTCGAAGGGTACTGCTCAGTGATTTTGTAGGTTGTGTCTCATTAGATCTGATGTTTCCCGCAATTAGATTGAAGTTGCACATTTTTGGCAAGAATCCCACCGGTGATGTGTCCTGATCCGTGCCTTTGTCAGAGGCTCATGATGTTGACGTGTCTCATCACTGGTGGTGGTGACTGTGAGCGCGTGGCTAAGGAGGTGTCTGCTAGGTTTCTCCACCATTTAGTTGCTATTTTTCACCTTGTAATTGATAAATATCTTGGGAGTGCTCCCTTAAAACTATGTGAATGACCTTTCTCCTCAAACAAGGTACTAACTTCTCTGAACTTCATTTTCCTCTTCTGTAAAATGGGTTGTCGTAAGGATTCAGTGCAACTATGGAAAGTACTTAGCATAGTTTCTGTTACATACTGAAAGTGCAACAGATGTTGGCTGTCCGTTACAGAGCACCTTTCTCCAGTAACCTGGAAGGCACTAAAATGCATCACTTACCTCTTGGCCGTTACTAAGTTCAGCTTCACACACCTATTATCATCAAATTTCCTAGTATTTTCAAGATACATTATTATTTTATTTCTTTATTTTTTTAACATTTTTTATTGAGTTAATAATCATTTTACAATGTCGTGTCAGATTCCAGTGTACAGCACAATTTTTCAGTTATACATGAACATACATATATTCATTGTGACATTAAGATACATTTTTAAGCTGTCAAATTTTTGACTGTTGTTGCTGGCAAGAAATGCATTTTGCCCACCCACTATATACACACAGTTACATGCTATTTCATCAAAAGTGTATATACTTTCTTCAAGCGATCTGCTCTATTTTGTATTCTACTCTTTCATTTAAAAAGAAAAATTGTCGCTTATAACTCACTAAGTTGATTGCACAACTCAATTAATGGATTGCAACCAGCATTTGAAAGTCACAGACGTGGGTAGCATGGGCGGTCCTGCAGTAGGAGGTGTGGTGTGGGGCAAGAGCACAGACTGGAGCTAGACAGACGTGGGCGTGCAGCCTGCCCCACCGCTGTGTGCCCTCGGGCAGGCCAAGTGGCCTTTCCTGACTCGGGTCTCCTCATCAGTGCAGGGATTCTGTGAGGGCCAGGTGAGATAATCACTGTGGATCTAGTACAGTGCCTGGCATGTGAATGCTCAGTGAGTGTTCATCCTTTTTTCTGTAAGACAATAATAAAAGCACTATTTATGGAGGAAGTCACTGGAATGAGGCTTTGCAGAATGAGTGGGAAAAAATGAGTAACCATTTCGCACCACTGTATTTAAAAATTCAATGAAATAGACAGTTTTGCAGGGAAGGAGAAGTAATCAAAATTGAAGCAAGAAGGAGAGAGAAACAGTACAGACCAATAAACATAAAATAAATTGGAACAGTGGGCAAAGTCTGTATCCTCTTCCCTTCACAAAGGCCCTGGAGCCCACAGGTAAACTAAACTTTTGAGGAACAAATCATGTCCATCTTAAACTGTTTGAGAGTGTAGGAAAAAATGTGGTGCTCCGCAGTTTGTTTTGCAAGAGGAGCATAACTTTGCTATCAGAACTAAGAACTCACACAG